AGCGGGGCGGAGAACCCGTGGGCGCGGGGCCTAGCGGTGAAATAAAAAGCCTTTTCCCGGGGCATGCATTTTTCTTTCCTCATCTTCAATTGCTTCCCCTTATCAGTGTGGGGCAGCACAAGGTGACTTCTTGTTTTGGCTACTTGGCTTCAAAAATCCTATTTTTAATATGAACGGGGACTTCCGGGTGACAAAGGTACCAGGGTCTCTATATCAACGGGACCTAGGAAGGCTGGAAAAGCAGATGGGACAGGCGTACAAACTGCTCTTATTTTCCAGGGTGGTAATAACGTGTCTCATAGGTCTTCTCTGTCATGACCTCTAAAACTCACATTTGCCTGTAATATGAACTTGCCACAGAGATTCCCTTCCTTGAGAGATTGCTGTGTTTAATATGTAGTCAATAATGAAGTTTTCATAATTTTTTAAAACCTGGAAGGCAAATATCACGTGCAGTAATTTGTTTTAGGGCTGCTAACAGGGATATGGTTGCCCCCCTTAGTGTAGAGCATGTGATAAGGGCAGGCAGTGTAACTTCTCAGTTTGCCACTTTTGACCTTGACCAATGTGTTCCCTTTTCTTAGGGAGCCAAAGTAAGAGCTTGTTTGGCTCTTAGTATTCTGAAAGTACTTTGTGAATCTTAATTCTGTTTTTTTATTACTTTCTTATTTTAGTGGTAGATATTTTAGGAAAGTATAGCTTTTTTTTTTTTTTTATTTAAGAAAAAGTCACAGAATAGCACCATTTCAAATATAACTTGGTATATTTGTTCTTAATTGTTAAGTAGCTTCTAGTTTGTACTTTGAACAGAAATGACTACTCATAAAATAAAGGCAAGTCTTTTATTAGGGTAATTAATTGGTTCTCATTTTGTGGTGTGACATTGCATGAGAACGAGCAGTCATTTGCTAAAAATAAAGTGGTATAATGTAAAACAAAGGCTGTGCTGGCACAGTCAGGATGAGGAATTTAGTATTCTGGGAGATTGTCTTCTATTACCAGGCTCAGGATGCATGTTTTCTTCCCCCTCCCCCTGGTGAAGGACTAAATCTGTGATGGTAATCAGATATGCTTTTAGGTGATCTCTTTAGGAGGCAATATTTTTTTGCCCCTGTGTAGCTGTCTAGAGGTTAATGAATATGAGCATCATCTTGCCAATCACTGTGATAGTGCCAGCGTTGACCATGGCACATGTTATTAACATTGGTTCTACCCACCTCCTGTCCTGGAACTGTTTTGGAACTGGGGCTGCACAGAAAGCTTCCATCTGAGGGAAATAAATCGGAATTAGCCTGATTTGGTCTGAATGTCCTATTTAAAGCACAGTTCTAATAGCCTGAAAGGGTCAAGATCTTTCTCCTGCCTATGTGAGGTGATGCTTTTAGTAGCATTCCATTTTTCGAGCCACGTTGGCTGAGGATTCACTTAAAGAGAGGAGTGTAAAACTCTAAATTGCCTGAAATATCAGTCGTTTATTGAAGGCATCATAGGTAAGTACTGAAATTATGTATGAGTAGCTTTGTGTATGCTGGCAGAAATCAGTGTTGGCCTGGGCTAAACTGGTCTTCAGAACCATAATTTTGGTTGCTCTTTGGAGGTGGGTCTAGAAAATTAGACTGCATTTACAATTTGATTATACCACTCTGCTTTTCTTTTTAGGCTGAATCGTGGTGAATGTTGGAAACTTGGCCAGAGTTCGTAGATCAGGGAGGATGAGAAAAAATGGTATTTTGGGTTTCAGCTGGGATTTCTAGGACCAGTTTCCCAGACAGGAGTGTACATAATGTGGTTGCTACTCTTTTGAACGTAAACTTTTGCTTACTGGACTTGTCTGCCTTATTGGCTGCGAAAGTGCAAGTTAGTTTCTGAATTCAGACTCCTTTTGCATCTGGACCATTCACTGTATTGAGCTAAATGTGAGATAGCTAGGTTAAAATCTGTAAAGAGAAATGTTGGCTTCCTGACAGAGACTTCAAAAATAATGACCCATTTCATAGACTGGCTTTCTTGTGTCTTTTAAGGAAGCTTTTCACCTGGTAAAATACCAGTAGACTTAGGAGCCCTGTAATGATTATTGCCATTTCTTTTACTGAAATCTGAACACAGACATTCATGCTGGGATGATGGATTCAATGCCAGGTAAGAGGAGATCACTTGGCAGCTGTTTGGTCAGCCTGGAAATTCCTGGATAAAAGGGAAAATGTATAGATTACTGGCTGCCTGCTTCCCTTGGCTGTTGGTTGCAAGGTGCTTCTCCCTACTCAGTAAAAAAGCACCACAGAAGCCCCTCAATGCATTACTACATTGCCTCTCCCTCTGGGAAGAGGGAGGGGGAATGAAGCTGGGAACTGTTAGGCTTGTGACTTTTCCCTTATCTTGCAGTTCTGCCAAGATTTAAGTTCTGCCAAGTTCTATTTCTGAGGATGCAATGGATAAAAAGCCAGGCAGAGAGAATAGACGTGTGATGAGTGATACACTGTGGATTCTTTCTGAGGAGAGATCAGACTTTTGAACCAGCCAGTGTATGCTGTTACTTGGTCGTGATGGTGGAGCCTCAGGCTTGCTGGACATCCAATTTGATTCAACCATATTGAATCAAATTAACTCCCAACAGAGTAGAGATATGGGATTAGATTTACATCCCAGTAAAATGAAGATAACACTTTTTTAATAGGTGCCTTTTAAAAGTCTTATGTAGACAAAAGTGATTCTCTAGTCTCCTGAAACTGATTGACCTGGGTGACGATTTTCCCCCAGTCTTACTGGCCATTACAGAAACACACCTTTGGTTTTCCAGACTTCTCTTGCCAATTTCCATGTCCAGACAGAATCCCTCACCTTAAACACGCTCCCTTCCTGCTTCTGGTAGCCTGCAGTTATGGTCAAGCAGAAGTCCATTACTTTGTAGTGCTAATTCTGTGAGTACCAGCTGAGTATTTATTTAGTATTTGAATAAATACTACATTTCATTGTGCTGTTTCGTGAAGTAAAAAGATACATAGGCATGTATGTTCAACTGAAAGGATTTTATCTCAATTTTGTTTGAAAACTTTCTTTGTACCTCTTTTTGGAGACCTTGCTTCAGATTCTTATTATAATCAGCTTTGGTCTCAGGCAAGACTAGGATGCTATGAAGCATTAAATTACTTTAATTTACATATCTGTTATTCTGTATGATGAAGTAAAAATAAATTACTGCATTAAACCAAAATACATTTCCTGGTCTGGGCAAGAAATTATTTTTCCGTGAACAGTGATTAAATCCCTCAGTGTTTTTTCCAGCCACTTCAGCAGTTGGAGACTTTCACGAGACAGTGGATATCTTGTGAGGTAAAGACATTTTCACAGCATTAGTCGTGCTGGGTAAATGCTTAAGTTGGGGGGAAAAAAGGCAGAACAAAGCAAACATAAAAGTTACATGGCTAGTAGGTAAAGTTCAGCTTTACCTAGTAGGTATGTTAAACAATGAAAAGCTGGATGGTGTTTGATTTGGTTTGGTGTTGGGTTTTTTTTTCCTGGTGGAAGAACAAAACGTCTCAAGTCTGACACCTGTGACAAGTTCTGGAAGCTCTAAGCTTAAAGTGCAGTACAGTGAAATGGGTTTCCCTTGCACTCCTGGAGGAGCAGTGCCCTCTTTGTACCACCAGGTTCACATTCTTCAGATATTCTTTCATGAAAGTGGTGTGCAGCTGCTGTAGGTGTGTACTGCTCCTACCAAAAGCTGTGTGTGTAATGACTTAGGATCGTTTGGTAAAAATGCAAACGGCACCCTTACTGCTGGTGTGCTGGCTAGTGTGATCTCACCTAGCTTTCCTGAACTTCTTATTGTGAAATATGCTAACAAACGTTATCGAAAGAACAATA